TCGTCCTCTATATTTTTTATTTTCCCTTGCCTTTTCTGTGTCTTGTGCTATGAGTAACATCATAGCATTTGCCTTCTAATTCACTAATTTTTCCTTCATTTGTGTCCAATCTGTTTTTATGCTCATTCACTGAATTTTTTAAATTACATTTTTTAAAAAAGTTCTATCAGTTCTATTTTTTTTTTCAAATATTTCTTGGGCACTTCTAGAGTATCTTATTGGTTGCTAATTTCTATAGTTCCATCTTTTATTTTATTAAACATTTCATAGTATATTTTCTATATCTGATTATTCTACTACTGAAAGTTTTGGGGGATTCAAATCTCTATCTCTTTCCCTCCTTACCCCTTTTCTCATAACTCATTCTTCCTTACGTTTTCAGTGATGCTTCTGAGCTTGTGTCTGATTAATGTTTATCTGTGGGAATTCTGAGTAACCAATGCTGCGGACGCTTTCCTCCAGCATTGAAGGGGATTTCCTCTTTACAGGTCCCTGCTTTAAGATGGGAATCCCACATCCAGATGCTCACTGTGCTGCTGGCCTAGGCTTCTGTCCCTGTCCACTGCTGTGCTGGTATTAGCATTGGACCTTGGCCAAACACACTTTAATCACTCTTATTTGCCACTTACATTTGCGTTCAAGTTTCAGCTCACTTCTTGTCCTATACTTCAATTTCAAAAGTGAATTTGGGGCTTAGAAAAACCATCTCTTTGTTCATTGATGAATGAGACTTTGGCTGTCACGAGCCTCCCTTCCCACAACAAAAACTCCGTTCCATCAGCGCTCTCATATGCTGACATAATTGATCAAAGTATGCCATTTTATTTGACAAATGCGGTTTTGCAGACCTAGGTCATCATAAAGAGTCATGACCTGTCTGAACTTAAAAGTTCAAAGAGAGTTGTAGGCTAATGTCAGTATCACTTCATTGATGCTGATCAAAGTCTCCTTGAAGCTGGAAGACAGGATGCATTCACTAATTCCACCTTCATGAACTAAAGCAGAGGGAGAGAACGAGAGTGCATTTGTAATAACATGTCTTAAATGGTAGGTGTTTTAAAATAGCTTGGCATGGCCTCAGATAGGGGTTGTGTACTGATCTTCTCTTGCTGTTTGTATGGAATGCACGTGTGCCTCGGTGGTGCTACAGTGCAAGGCAGAGGCACTGAGAAGTTGCATTATCTGTATCTTTCATGGATCAGTAAAGCTGGCATTTCTCCTGCCTCTTACTGGCATGCATGCTGTTCAGGACCTCATTCGCTCCCACATCTTTCTCTTCTCCTCTCCCAGCTCGTCTTGCGACTCCGCTATTGGGAGATGGCTGAGGACTACCCACCTGACCCAGCGCAGGCCCCCTGTCCATCTGCCCAGCCCAGCTTAGCCCCAGTGAGCATTCATCCTTTGCACATCTGATGCACACAGCCGATCCCAGGCATCTTCCTTCCCCTTGTGTGAGTCGGGCAACTGACACAGTGATGCTCCACTCTGCCGTGGAAAAAAAATGGCAGGGCAGAGTGAGAACACCTAGTGGGCTGGAATGTGCCCAGCTTTTCTGTTTCTGTCTACAGCAGATACAGGCAGTGTCCCAGTAGTCCTGGGGAGGCCACCTTCAGTGTCCCACTACTTCTTGTGTCCTCACTTTCTTCTTGGTGACCAGGCATCTCTTCTGTATACTCTCTCTCTCCCAGGAGGGTCCAGGAGGGTAGAGAAGGGGTCCAGCCCTTCCAGGTCATGCCCCAGCAGAGTCAGCATGCCTCACCCTTTGCATAGTGCTGTAGCATCTGTGAGGCTCGAGGCCTGCTCACCCCCGAGGCCAAGGCAGCCCACCCTGGGAAAGTAGCCATGGCGCAGGTTAAGGACCGTCTCAAGCCAGTTAGGACAGCTTCTTTGCATCAGCTCAAGCTCAAGCTCAATCCCTGGAAATCTCAGGCTTTGCAATAGCAAAACACAAATCTGTTAACTGACTCCTCCCAAGAGAATTACTTGGGAAAAGATTTTGTAAATATTCAAAGGCTTCTGTGAACAGCCTGAGGCCAGCTGACCCCGAAGGCAGCAGGCGGCAAACCAGACAGGAGCTGGGTGTCTTGCTTGTATGCACGCCCTCTCTAGGCGTCTGTGGAGCCATAAGCCTGGGTGGGTGTGCTGATGCCACCACCGAGCCAGAGCTCTCAGCAACAGGACGCAGCCAAGGCGAGGAGCAAGGCTTCCAAACCAGTGTATCTCCCACGTTTGATTAAAAGTAGCCTGGTCCAGGATCTGCCTGCAGCCAGCAGATACCTCACAGTTGCTGGTGGTTAACGTCACGAGCCTTCTGGTCTTTGCCACCTACAGATGCTGGGCCTGTGGGTTTCCCTTCCCTGCTCTCATTTCCTGCCACCTGCCACTGGGGCTGCACAGGTCACATGGCCATGGTCAGTACCTGTACCTGCCGGTTACCTGTCACCAGGAGCTGGCCAGGGCTGCTTGGTGGAACACAGGAAGAGAGGGGATTGCCTGCAGGACCCATCCTCTTGAGGAGCCTCAAGGAAGTGGGAGCCTTTGCAGAAACTGCTTGTTCAAAAGTAAAGGGCACTCTCCGTTACCTCTGGGTTCCTCTGTATTTCCTCCTGATACTCGCTCTCTTTTTATACTGCTTTTATTATGAAATATAAAACACATGAGAGTGCATAACTAAATAGATACGACTTAATGAATGATCAAGCAAACACGGCCCAGCCAAGAAACAAAATGCACCCAGCATTGCAGGAGCTCCCTCCGGCCTCACAAACTCATACCCATCTGTCCGGCCGCCTCCTGGGAGGCACCACCTCCCTAACTCTTGTGTTCATCACGCCCTTGCTTTTTTGTGTTGTTATTTTTCATTTGCTTATTTTTTTAAGTTTTACCACCTAGGTGTACATCACTAAATAAAACAGGTGGCTTTTGTCTGTTGGGGGCTTTGTGTATATGGAAGCATGGAGCGTGTTTTATGTTTGTGAGACTCATCTGTTCTTTGTATAGCTGCCATTTGCTCATTTTATTGCTTTATAATATTGTATTGTGTGAATTCCTACCATTTATTCACTTGCTCTGTGGTCAGTGAACACTTAGGTCGTGTGCAGTTTTTGATAAACACAGACGAAGCTGGTATAAGTAGCTTGGGGTGCATAGTGTACACATTTCATACACCTCAGTGTAGAATTGCTCATTCATGACGGCATGAATAGGTTCGGTCTCGGGAGACTGTTCCAAACTGTTTTCCAAAGTGGGTAAACCTGTTTATGCTCCCACAAACAACGTAGGAGGGGCCCTGCTGCTCCCCACTCTCAGTAGCATGGAGAATGATCTTTCTAACTTCCACCAGTCTGAAGAGCGTGGAATGGTGCGACCCTCTGATCTTCATTTGCGTTTGTCAGATGTCTAATGAGGTTGATGGCGTCATCTCTCAGGGCAACCTGTGCTTGTCTGTCTCCGTTTTAATAAGAAAATGTCAATCAAGGCATAGGGCAAGGTGGAGTAGTACAGATTGGACATGGATTCAGAAACTCGAGTTCAGATCCCATTTATTATTACTTTTTTTTTTTTTTGTAGAGATGGGGGTCTCACTCTGTCACCCAGGCTGGAGTGTAATGGTACAGTCTTGGCTCACTGCAGTCTTGACCTCCTGGGCTCAAGTGATCCTCCTGCCTCAGCCTCCCAAAGTACTAGGATTACAGGTGTGTGCCACTGCACCTGGTTCAGATCCCATGTATTATTTCCATGACCTTGAGGTCACAGACATGAAAGATTAAACCATAGGAAATACTTTGGAGTGGTATATGGTCATCATTCTTTCAAGGCCAACTTTTACAGGCATATGCATCCATTTGTACCGCTGTGGCATTTGGACAGCCCTTTACGCCTCCCAACTATTAGGGACCGGGACTTCATGACTTACTCTCAGAGTCTCAGATCTCATGAACCAAAGGGCTGCAGCTGTGGAGAGGGGAGAATGGGGGCAGAAATGAGATCTGAACTCTGATCCGAATGCTGTGGACGTGACTACGAAGCTAAATTGGGGGTTTGCACCCATTTCATGCCCTTTCAGCCTCCACCGAAACCTTGACCTCCCCTAATCCTACAGGTCTTCCAGGGAATCTCTCACCTCCGTGAGTCGGAAGACTCTCGTCGCATGCACTGCAGTGGGAGTGTTGTTCCCTGCCTGGCGTCAGACTCCCACATCTCTGTTCACTAGGCCCCGGGGCAGGGGGTAGTGCTGAGTGTAGCCCAGCATGACCCTGAAGACAGAGCCTCGGCTGGTCAGCACGGCCAGCACAGCTCTGGTTTCATTTCCCTCTCTTGACCCCACAGTAGATGTCATTTTCGTCTCCTGGGGATCTTACCTGACAATATCATCACTTGAAAATGTTTTAAGTCCAGCCCTGCTGCCCTTTCCTGCAATGGGAGCGTGGGAGGGAGTGAGGCAGTCCCTGGGGGACAGAAGCTTCCACATCCCTCCATCTCCGGTCCAGAAGATGGCTGGTTAAAATGCCCACCAGACACCCCACCCCTAACCCAAGCTAGGTGGTGGAGATGTCCATCTTGGATCTGACCCAAATGCAGGCCCTGGTGAAGAAACATTGAGTCCAAAGGGCTCCGCAGATAATCAGGGTCCATGGATCCTCCGTTCTCATCACCCTGAGCAGCATCACTGCTACCGAGCACCAGGCTTTCCTGACCACCACCCAGGGATCCTGGGCCCTGCTAGATCTTAGCCATTGTCCATTCATCACCAACCTGCTGGAATTTTCTTGTTGCAAGCTCACCCATTGGCATCATCACTGAGTGGTGAACTGGGCATTCCTGGGTAGGTTGGGCAAAGTCCTTGACCCTGAGGCTCCAGACACTGCTCTCTGGCTGCCTTGCCAGGTGACAGGCCCCCAGAGAGCTGCTGCTGACCACTCAGGCCAGGGAGCTTCCTCCCAGGGTCTTACTGGGGACTGGCAGGCCTGGGGATGATGCCGCTCCATCCTCCTTTCCAGGATCAGAGCCAGAGACAACAACGGCTCCTACGCCCTGTGCCTGCTGCATGAAGGGAAGGTGCTGCACTATCGCATTGACAAAGACAAGACGGGGAAGCTCTCCATCCCAGAGGGGAAAAAGTTCGACACACTGTGGCAGGTACCCGGTGTCCTCTCCCCACCTCGTGGGTAGATTACAGGGCACATGGGGCTTCCTGTCCCATGGACTCTTAGATACAAGAGAAACTGGACCACCTTCTGTCCACAGTGTGGTCCCCAGGCCAGCAGCAGCCCTGGAGCTCGTGAGAAACGTACACCTGTACCCACACCTGGGTCCCTGTCCCACCTTCCCATCAGAGCCCTTTTTCAGCCTCCAGGTGGCTTCCGTGTTTGAGAAGCACTGGTCCAGGGGCCATCCTGTGAGATGAATGAAGGTTCCATGGCTTGTTAAGGGCGACTCAGTCCTCAGTGCCACAGGGTGATGTACGTGCAGGGCTGTGTTTAGATTTTAACGAGACACCCTCCTTTGGAGAGCTAGAAAATATTTCTTCCTAGGATAACCGGGGTAGACTCCAGAACAGCCTTTCAGACAACGACACACAAAATAGAGGCATGGGTGGCCAGGGAACGAGGCCTGGGAACAGCTAAGCAGGCCTTTGCTGGTGGTGCGAGAGGCTGAAATAGACAGTAAATGTCAGGTGCTCTCCTCATTGTAAATTGAGTCTCTCTCCTGTGGAAACCAAGGCAATTTAGGAAACACATCCTAAATTTAGGAAGCATACTCCCCAGGCTCCAGGCTGCTGCACATGCACACTGCCACAGCCCTAGTCTAAAAAGTGCTTATTCCTGACCCAGGAATAAGCAAACCCTGAAACAACTCGCAGTTCAGAAGTTCCTTAGGCACTGATGAGCACTAAAATAATGCTCATCACTGCTTTTCCTGAATTGCAGTGCACACAGATTGTTTGTCTTAATTTTGCATCACAAGTACACTGGCTGATGATGAAGGAAATAACAGTAACAGTGCTTCATGCACCATCTTAGCAGAGCATCCTATAAACTGTAGTAGTTTCAGAGACAGGGAGAAAAGAAAGCCAACCACTCTGCCACCACCCTGCTGTCCCAGAGCACCAGCTACCTTTAACATGTGTGGGTGAGGAGCGTAATCAGGGTGCATTCAAATTTCCTCACCCAGGCCCAGCTGGGGCCACACATGCAGTCAGACTCAACCAAAAATCCTGTCTTTTCAAAAACTGAGACCATGGAGCCTTAGTCCCTTTAAAGCACTTAAAGTTACTACATCCCAATGTGATCTGGTTTCTAATGCTGTAATTGGAAAATCAAAATGCTAGATATGGTCATATTAAAAATATTAGTCACAACATTTACATTTACATTGTCTTTTGATCTTATGGCTCATTGGCAAGTGTTATCATCGACCACAGGCTCTGCTTTCTTTTAATGATATTGATCCAAATAAATATTTAACTTTTCTACCCTTGAGGCCCAAAGCACATGAGGGGGGTTTGTAGGGAATATTGCCTTCTGGAATACAAAGGCCCCTGCAGGCCCCATCACTTACAAACAGCCATTCGTTCACCTTCTCCAGAAAGGGCGTTCAAAGGCTGAGCACTCAGGTAGTGTTAAGCATCTCGAATTATTGAGAATGTCCTTCCCAAGACTCCTTACTATTTTTATTGATTCCCCTGGTAGATCATAGCATTCAGCCCTAATTAAATTCTTTCTCATTGTGTATTTTCTGGGCACTGTGTTTAGGAAACTACATCAAAAATACCAGCAATATCTTCCAATTTTCCATGCATGATTCTGTTGATTTTTCTTGACAGCATCGTAAGATACCTGTGTACCCTACCCCAACTCCAGGGCCCCAGTGCTATTTCATAGAGAGTTGGTGATTCTATACGACTCTATTTCAGTATTCTTTACTGTAGACCAGCGATCTGCAAACCCACAGACCAAATACTGGCTCTCAGCCTGTTTCTGTATAATCCTTGACAGGAATGGTTTTTAGGCTTTTAAAGGTGTAATTTTAGACAAGTAGATAAATACATAGATAGATAGATAGATAGATAGATAGATAGATAGATAGATAGATAGACAGACAGACACAGATATTGTATGAGGCCCACCAAAACCTAAAGTACCTCTTTCTCACCCTTTACGGGAAAAGTTTGCTGCCCCTTGCCCAAGAGGGACGATCCCTAGCTGTGGGCCCACTTCCCCAGCCACCCTTGTGGAGTAAACTTATGCACGTAAAAGCATTTACGTGTCTGGGGGTCACTTTGAAAGCCCAACAGTCAGTCGGCAGCTCTCAGTCCCTATTTCTCTATTTCCTGACCTTGTTATTTACCACACTTCCTTACTTTTTTCTCTTTCAGCTGGTCGAGCATTATTCTTATAAAGCAGATGGTTTGTTAAGAGTTCTTACAGTCCCATGTCAAAAAATCGGCTCCCAGGGTAAGTTCCCGAGACACTGGAGTCTCAGTTTTTGAGCTATTAGTGACAATTAGCCTCATTTTAGACTTAACTGATTGCAGATTCGGGTTGGAGAAGGACTTCTTTTTATGGATCGATTAATAATGATGTCAGATCACTCCAATTTTGCATATTATGAATCCAAAAATTGCCAGTTGCAACTAGCAGTAATTTGTCTTAATTGCAGGTGGGAAAAAGTAAAAGACGATCAAAAGAGAAAAGTGTGCTCCCTTCTCAAGCAGAGCACCTCTGATCTCATTGATCGATCTGCAGTGGGGAGGGGTAGGAAGTGGTTTCCACAAACAGAGCGGTAATTGTCCATGCTCTCTCTAAGCAGGAAATAATGTTAATTTTGGAGGTCGTCCACAGCTTCCAGGTTCCCATCCTGCGGTAAGTGTCGTTAGGAACACCACCGAATGAGAAGCTGTTGCATATTCATAATCACAAATGAAAATAAAGTTTGAGCCAACAGGAGTAGTGGTCATTGAGATTTTGATTGCCCTTCAAAACGTACTCCTTGATGAGCTGGGATTGCTGATGTGTATCAGGCAGAATCAGCCTACTGCTAGTGATACACTAGTCCCATTTTCTTTCTTTCTTTTTTTTTTTTTTTTTGGAGACAGAGTCTCATGTCACGCAGACTCGAGTGTAGTTGTGCAGTCGTGGCTCACTGCAACCTCTGCCTCCTGGCTTCAAGCCATTCTCATGCCTCACCCTCCCTAGTAGCTGGGCTTACCGGTGCCTGCCAACATGCCCGACTAATTTTTGTATTTTTTAGTAGAGATGGGGTGTTGCCATGTTGGCCAAGCTGGTCTCAAATTCCTGGCCTCAAGTTATTCTCCCACCTCGACCCCCGCAAAGTGCTGAGATTACAGGCATGAGCCACCACTCCCTGCCTAGCCACATTTTCTTAACTTCTTGTCCAGGTGAAATTCTCTTCATTTTTTGGAGAATCTACACAACGAGGAGGAAACCCAGCATTAAGTCAGAAATAGGCCTCTTGCAATACTTGAGAAACAGGAACGTATTTTTAAACTTCATCCTTGAGCCATCTATGTTAACACACGTGTGTAATCCACAGAACCCCAGCTGTCTCCTCCCTCCAGCCTGTTGGGAGATCAGGCACAGACTGATGCTCTAGGCAGGAATTCTTTTCCTGCTCTTCTCTTGGGGACTTCATATGGACTTTCTATGCCTTTTAATGCGATCTGTGAAGTATACCCTCTGCACCTCACTTTTGCTTGGTAACACTTGAAAAACAAAATCTACAGAAAGCCAAATATATGTCCTGGAGGCAAAATATTGCCTTCAGTAGGGACAATTGGCTGCTCAGTGCTCCACCCAGATTGAAACAAGGGAGGCTGTCCAGGGGCAGTGCTTGTTATCAAATGCAGGGAACTTGAATTTGCTAAGATATCAGTGAACTTTAGGATCAAAATGTAATTCCTTTATGGGGGTGTGACTTTATTTTGCCCTTTTCAAGGCTCGAAGGCCTGGCAACTTTACCCTAATATTATAGGCTCCATGAGACAGATCCATACACTTCAGATGGATGAGGGCTTAGGGCTGAGAACTCTTAAAAGAATGTCAAGCCCTGTGCTTAGCCATCATCACCCAATGGCTTCAAAAACTTGGATATTTTGGAATAACTTTTTAATTGACTGGTAAAATATATATGGAAATATGCAGAGGCCCCAAGTATACAACTCAATGAATTTCCACAAAATTTTCCACCATGGAACCAGCACCCACCATGAAGAAGCAATACAACTGAGCACTCAGATCTACGTGTAGTTTCTTTAGGGTGGTTTGTCTTGAGCTCGTGACTTAGTAACTCCACAAGAAGCATGAGCTAGTGAATGTAACAGCTCTAATGTTTTAGCCTTCAGTGGAACATATTTCCCAAATATATTTCTAGATCCTTCTCCCCAAGTGGCAGGCCTTTCCAGAAGCCTTCCCAATGATCAGATGTTGCCCGTGGTAGATCTCATGGGCAGGGGCAGGAGGGCGTTAGCAGTGCAATTATAGGAGCAAGTTTAAGTAGCATGTCATGGAAGGGATCCTGTATTTGTTTTCTGAAACATTTACTCTTCCTCTTTGCTGTTGCGGTTTCTAGACTTGGTCAGCGGGTGGAATAATCTCAAGAATCAAATCATACTCCTTCCCAAAGCCTGGCCACAGAAAGGTGCTAAAGTATCCCCTGCTTGCTGTCCAACTAAGTGGTAGGACCAACCTGCACTCAGCTCCCGCCCGCCCAGCCTGCCCTACGTGTGCGCTGCCCTCCACCTGTTGCCACTCTGCTTCCAGGCCTCTTTGCCCTTGCTCACACCTGCGGATCCTGGGCAGCCGCGCCCCAGGTACAGCCTGTGCTTTTCATGTGGGTCCTCAGTCCGTCAGCTGGAAGTCCATCAGTGTGAGCTTGCTTTCTCTGCCCAAGCATCATTTTAAAGTCATTTCAGTTGGCGTCATCTGTCATAGCTCATTGTCAAGTTGGAAAATCTTTTCAAAGATGGCCAATTTACTTTTTGGTGGCCAGAATCACGTGTTGCATTGTTCTGGTAATTGATTATGTAAGTTACATTGCCATGGAGGGAACGCCAAGGTCTTGTGAGGTGTGCTGCACAGTGAGGTCAGGCAGTGCATGGTGGCTTCATTATGGCTTAGACGTCTAACACAGACCTGCTAATGTGATATGTAAAGAACTGATGCAGTCTGAGGACTAGAAAAACCACTTTTCTTTCTGAGGCAGTAATGTGGACATCTGACCGATTTCCATGTTTTGTTCTATCATTGGATTTTGAGGGAGAATAAACATAAGTTCTTTTTAATGACTTCTATTTATAATGACTCATTCATTCCTTCCTTCAAAATATGTGTATGTAATGTGTTTGGATTGCTTTTTTTTTCCCATTCTACTTTCATTATCAGTGGGGTAAAATTGATTCTTTTATCAGTAATTCTTTTTATTTTTATATTAACTGGTGTTTTTATGACATTTTAGCACACAATTTAGCTTCCACTCATGAATTAGGTTGCCTAAAGTATTTATTAGAAACAACAGAAATAAAAGGCATAAAACCCCTGAGAGTTTATTTACTAAAAATTTTCCAAGTTTAGTCATACTCAAAAAGTTCTCAATCATGTTGACTATAGAACAGAAAAAATTTAATGCAGGAAGAAAAGGTGTATCTTACACCTGAATAAAATAACTATGTCTGTTTTCCATGTTTACCCAAGGCAAAACACCCCCACAGATCACTCACAGTGGCTAAAGAAATACCTAGAAAATAAGTTTTAGCATATCTTTAGACTGCAGGAGAACCTGTTGGAAAGAAAGTTGAAGAAAATATCAGTAAATGTGACCATCTAAAAACAAAGAAATATATGTATGGATAAGAACCATAACATCATCGAAAGAGAAATAAGATACTGGGAGTAAGTAGCGCTAATGCTGACACATAGATTAATAGCTTTAATATACAAAGAGATTCTATAAATCAATAAGAAAAATATTAACTGTCTACTAGGATAATGGGCAGGGAATATTAGTAGTAGTTTATAGTAAAGCAAATATAAATAGTTCTTATACATATGAAATGTTTAACTTCATGAGAAGAGAAACGCAAGTTAAAACCATGGTGCTCAAGTGTTCACCTATGAAACTGTTCCACAAATTAAAAGCTTGATAACACTGCAGTAAAGGTATGGTAGATAAGCACTTTGACTCTTCCTTGGAGAAGTCTGAAATTATAAAATCTGTAAGAAAAGCTCTGCAATTTTATTTCTAAGTATATACAGATATTCTTGCATTTATGTGAAATCACGTACATGTGAAGGTGTTTATTCCAAAATTACATAATTGACAAAGTCTGATAATAATTTAAATGCCTTATTAATGGAAAACAAATGAAATCAGTTACAGTAAAATTGCTACTATGGGAGGCAGCTGAGATCTAGAATTGTTTCCAAAATGTAATTTTAATTGTAAAAGACAATGTCATGCACACACACACACACACACACACACACACGCATATACAGAATGTGTTGAGATCGTATAGAGTATCCTAGAAAAATACAGAAAATACTGGCAATGCTGGTTGCCTCCAGAATAAGAGATGGGAATGTTAAGAAACCCCACTTTTCATTGGAAACTCTGTTGTATCTTTTTAAATTTGAACCTGTTAAAAATTTTTAATCAGTTTTTTAAAACAGAATTAAATATTAGAGAGTAATTAATCTGATTAATATTGTGAAAATACCTCTCTGGCAAAAAAAAAAAGAGTTTACTTTCTATTTAAATGTATAACCAACTTTAAAGTAGTCATTGAATTCTTTATAGAAATAAGAAGCTGGGAATAAGTATTACTAATAATATATAAAGCCAAAAATATTGATAGATAGTTTTTAAAAGGTCAAGATTATATAGTTTAAGCTATAGATTATAAATATTTTAATTGCTTATCAGATATAATTTAGAGCTAATAAGTATATTTTCCCAAATACACGGGGAACTTTCCATTATGTAATCAGTCATGAGAAAAGAATTGTGAGAATTATGTTAAATATCCCATCTCATTAGCTAAGAGATAAATAACTTTCTTCAACTTGTTAATTTGCTCAATGCAAGTAGTTGTTTTAATAATTCAGGCACAAAAAAATACATGTTAGAATTTGAATTACCTATAGCATCTAGACAGTTAATGAAGAGTATATTTTCGATTTGAAGATGATTATGACTCAGATAATTTAAATTTTTCATAAAATTACTAACAGGCTGATGCATTTTAAACTTGTCTTTAGAAATCACTAACACTGCTGAATGCAGTGGCTCACGCCTGTAATCCCAGCACTTTGGGAGGCTGAGGCGGGTGGATGACTTGAGGTCAGGTTTGAGACTAGCCTGGCCAACACTGGTGGAAACCCATCTCTATTAAAAATACAAAACTTAGCCAGGTGTGGGGCATGTGCCTGTAATCCCAGCTGCTTGGGAGGCTGAGGCAGGAGAAACACTTGAGCCTGGGAGGCAGAGGTTGCAGAGATCATGCCACTGCACTCCAGCCTGGGCAATAGAGCAAGATTCTATCAAAAAAAAAAAAAAAGAAAGAAAGAAAGAAAGGAAAGAAAGAAAGGAAGGAAGGAAGAAAGAAGAAAGAGAAAAAAAGAGAAAATAAATTAGTAACATACTTATAAAATATAAACAAATTTAAGAAAACAATTAGTAGTCTTTAAATGAATTAAATCCCACCCAGTAGTAGTCCTGGAATATGTTTCTCTGCTGCTTTAAGCACTGGACCTTATCCTTTTATGGAAAATAAGTGGAAATTGAACAGCAGCCATCCCTAAAGACTTCCAGGGAGCTTTTCAGCTTCGCATCTCAAAGGTAAATCCTCTAAGAAGATTAAACTGAAATGTGTCCCAGAATTTCCAATTAAAACCCATTTTTCATGTTTTATTCCAACACATACGTTGGTGATTATAATATTTTAAAACTTACATTTAAGTACAGGGCTCAGGGGGAAGAAAAAAAAGAAAGAAACATTCTCAAGTCATACCCTTTTTGCTTGGTAGACCAGACCCTTGAGAAAATGTGCTTTTCATACAATGAAAAAGGAAGAGATTTTAGATCTTTGCTGTAAGAGAAGAGTAATTGCAGAGGTCAGGTGTTATTTTCACTGATTTTCATTGATCTCAGTGCAAGGCTAATAGCAGCTTATTTCCCAACCAACAGTCCACCCTCATCTGCGGGGATCTAGTGGACCAGAGTCATTCCACTGAAAAAAAAGGAAAGCGCACCTAGTTTATTGCAGCCAATATTTCTAAAGCCAACTGGCTCTTTTGTCACTGTTATTGTGATGACTGATGACTGTATTGCTATCTACATTACTGGGGGAAAAAATTCCAGGACTAATACTGGGAGGGGCTTTAATTCATTTAAAGACTAGTAGTTGTATTATTAAGTTAATTTTGTTTATATTTTTTAAGTATGTTACTGATTTCCTTTTTCTTTTTTTTTTTCTTTTATTGTGATGACTGATGACTGTATTGTCATTTGCATTACTAATTTGAACATGTCCCAAGAATCTGGGAGTAAAAATTAACATCTAATAAATGGATGTTAGGATACTTGGCAATCAGGAAACTCTGAATGGGCCTATCAGTTACATAGAACAATAATTTTTTCCTATTTTGTTCATTTCTGGGTCTCCAGCTTTTAAACATAGGCACTGAAAAAAATGCTTGCCAAATACATTTTCTATTTGCAGTTAAACCTTGCCAATAGGAAATCAAGGACAATAATTTATAACCAAACTTATTATTGCAGAGTGATGTCATTACCTGAATTTATAAAATTCAAGGAAGTCACCCGTTGCTCTTTCGGAAGGTAGAAAGCTAAGGTGGCTAGTGCCATCTAGTGGTGGACTGTGGGTTTGAGCCTGTTCTGAGTATTGGTAAAAATGAGGAAAATGAAATGGTCAACATTTCATTTACACCTGTTGTTTACTGTGCAGAACAGAAGACACTTATTGATCGGGACAGAATAGAGCTCTCAAATGCAAATGCAGACATAAATAATAAAAGGCAAATAATAATAATGTAGACCGGCAATATATTTTTCATTAAAATTAAAAATTATTTTTTTAAAAAAATGAATATTTTTACAATTTATCATTATGCCTCTGTGCTCATTCTTTACAAACTCCTCAAATTTTTATTTATAACTGAGCATTTTCTTTTGGAGGTTGTTTTGGTTATTGTTCTACTAAGTTGCCTATTCACCAAGCGCTTTGTGAAAGATAAAGTGTGCATTTTGCACCTCCATCTTTATCATAAGGAAACCACTCACTGTTCTTTTAACAGACTCAATAGGAAGCCTCCCATTTCTTCTGCATTCTTCCAATTGTGGTATCATCCTTTGCTCCTGTCTCATTAGTCACCAGAAAGAAATAGGGGCAGGGAGCCCAGGACTCTGGGTAGGAGAGAGCTGATGTGGTGTTACTGAGAGACATGAGAGTTCTTTGTGGATTGGCTTAAAACGCTCATCATCACACAGTGGTCTGTGCTTGGCAGCGTGGAAATGAAGCCCCGAGCTACCTTAGCTGTAAACGTGGAGTTTGAACTTCCAAGGAAGATCTCCCATCCGTGTCCCTATCCATAAGCCAAGATAGACTACGGGTGAACAACACACTGCCAGTGAGAGTATAAAGTATTCCTGCCCAGGAATTTAGATTCTCTGTGTCAATCACTACTAATTCTTACCGATTCCTGACTCCCTAGTATCCTTTTCAGCATATTTCGACAACCCCATGTCTGTTTTAAAATTCTTCCCTACAGGATTCATATGTCAGGGAATTGCATTCTAGTTTAATTGGAACAAGCCATTTGGAAGTCGTCCTGGTCTGGAAAACAGCGGAGAGGCTGTAGCCCCAGGATAATGTCCTCAGAGGGAGGGAGAGGATCTTACATCAAGAAGCGGTGATGGTCCCTCCCCTTGCCTGTGATGGCTAATCTGAGGACATCCTTTAATTCCATGTCTGTTCAAGTTTTGTCTTTGGATCTCAGAATGTGCCTACTTGCAAGGAAAATCAAAGGAGTTGAAATGACAGTAAATGTTAACCCTGAAATAGGTTTTTAAAAAAACAAAACTATTTTCAGCCTAGAATTGGCTGTGGGAGGCAACTGAGCGAAAGAGGATGGAAAGCCTTGGCCATCGCCCAGTTTCTGTTAGGACAGTTTTATTAAAGGTAATTGCATTATAAGCCAGAAGTGAAACCACAGCACGGTCCTGTAATCATATGTAAATGTTTAGAAGAAATAGATTGTCATTTGGAATTATTCATTCTTATTTCTCTTCATTAGCATAAAGATTCGACAGAGAGCGAATTTTTAAAGCACGTTAGTTTATACTTTGCATATCCTGGTTTTAGAAGTGATTTTCATTCATTCACCCATCCATTCATTCGTGTGTTTGTCCAACACATTTTTATGGAGCATCCTTGTGGATGTGGCACAGCTCCCAAAGTGGTGAACAAATGTCTATGCCCCCTGGAACTTATATTCTATTTTCATTTGATGTCTCACAGTTTCTTCTGTTAATCAGTTTAGTAAGAATGCTGAGGTAGTCTGTGAGAAAATGGATCTCATCGACATCATTTTTACAATAACAAGAAATGTCCTTTACCCTCGTCAGTGGGCTCGGGCCATGGTGAGCAGTGCCTGCCTCTTAAGTGCTCAGCAGACGGCGTGAAAGAAGGAAGTCTGGGTGTTTGGAGATAATGACTTAGTGGCCTTAGAGGTGCATTGTGACTTCATTATTCTGCTTTTAGTTTCTGGGCTTGTAATATTAATAAGGCAGATGAGGATTTAGTGTGTGTCGTAAGATAAGTGACTGTCATGTTAAGCTTAATGTCTCTGTTTCTTTAACTTTCTCCAAAATCTGGCAGCATCTCATTTCTTTGTGGTCAGTGTTCGGGCACTGAGAAGGTCAAGCGATGTACAGAATTGTGACTCAATTCACTCCAAAAAAAAAAAAAAAAAAAAAAAAAAAAGAAGCATCTGAATCATGGTTCTCCTGTGAATTAAATGTAGTAACAAGAAGCCAGAATCTTGTTTTAATTTGGAAGAAAGGGTGGGTCAGGAAAACTCAAGATAGACTTGTCAAAGGGAAAAGGGAAAGTCCTTAGGATAAGAAGGAGTAGATTCCCCCACCCTGTCGTTTCATGATATAAACTGATGTGGATCAAATACATGATAGGGAAGGATGCCGTTAACAGGCTGCAAAACTTTATCTCAGATATGCCCCTGTTACCTGCTGTGGGTATTCGGAAGAACTGCCTTCTTTCAGCTGCACAAAAAAGGAGCCCCAGTCTCACAGGGACACTGATTTCCAGCAGCAGCAACCCTGGCGGCAGGTGCATCGCCACCTAGGTGGCAGCAGCTGGCCTTCCCTTGGGACCTGTAGTCACTGACCAGTGCCACCCTCTGGCATCCACCCCAATGCTGCTGCATCTCCACCGAAGATAAAGACCTGGATGGAGACTAGAAAAACATGCGTGGTTTGGAGTTGGGAAGTAGGTGGGAGCAGCTAGTAAGTACTAATTCCCCTCTTTAAATAGCTTCTATAGACTATGAAATGGAAGAGCATGAGTTAAAGGAGGCAAATGCATCCAAGGGGAACGTGCAAATCATCAGTGACCTTGGGCAGGTGGGAATAGGATGTGCTCGGAGGTGAGTGGGAAAGCAGCCGTATCCAGGCAGCTGAGTTGACTCTCACCACATCCTCTCAACACCCCGCAGGGTCCCTTGAGTTGTAGCAGCACAAGCTTGCTTTCGCCCTTGCAGTATCCAAATAATTGCCCTAAGAATGAGATCAGCCTTATTTTCTTTCTTGTCTTTCTTAATTCTTTCCTTTGTCTTTCCTGCAAATGTTAAAGCGTGATTTCTAAAAAATAATTGTGCAGATCAACTTAACATTTGTATAGATGAAAAAAATGACCCGTTGTCCTTTCTGTACTTTAGCCCTCCCCCGCCCAAGGGAACCGGCCAGAGAGTACTGTGTCGTTCAATCCGTATGAGCCGGAACTTGGGCCCTGGACTGCAGAAAAAGGTGAGACTTGCTTTCATTCAAGGGACATTCACGGAGCGAAGCGCGTGGTCCCTTGTCAGTTTGTAGAGTTGGGTCACGAATCCACCCCATGTCCGTGATTTCAATACAGCACAGTGAGCCGTGGAGACACCCACATCTAGTGGCAGGCAGCAGACACCATGCCCATGAGCAGTGGTAATGCTTTGGAATGAAATGGTCTTTCCCACCTCCCTCACCTGGTGACACTGGAAACGTCCACTCTTCAGAATTTCTCGTCCCTTGTAACCTTGATGCTGCTCTGAGTTCACACTCCCGTGAACATGATGTTCTTGGAAGGATCAATCCTGTTGTGGGGTCCAGCCCCAGGTTGTATGATTCTTGTCTGCATTGCAGGCCCCCAGAGAGAAGCACTGCCCATGGACACAGAGGTGTACGAGAGCCCCTACGCAGACCCCGAGGAGATCAGACCCAAGGAGGTTTACCTGGATCGAAGTCTGCTGACGCTGGAAGACAAAGAACTGGGCTCTGGTAATTTTGGAACTGTGAAAAAAGGCTACTACCAAATGAAAAAGTAAGTCACTATGCCCCACTGCTCCGCTGTCACCCTCACATGAGCCCAAGTTCTAGACGCTACCGAGAATAACAACATATAACCTGGCATGACTAACCCCTTTTTAAATTAATGCTATCATTCTTGTTAATTTCTGGTACACTATAGTGAAAGTAACCATGACTTTTAATGGCAAAAACTGCCATTACTTTTGCACCAACCTAATAGTACGTGTACCTTATGAAAAATTAGAAAATAGAAACAAGCAGAAACAGAAGAAAATGAAAACATCAATCTAGCATAGTAGCTCATGCCTAGAATCTTAGCACTTTGGGAGGCTAGGGTAGAAGGATTGTTTGAGGCCAGGAGTTTGAGACCAGCCTGGGCAACATAGCAAAACCCTGTCTCTACAAAAAACTTAAAAAATAATTAGCCAGGCATGGTAGTGCACATCTATAATGCCAGCTACTCAAGAGGCCAAGAGGACAAGGCTGCAGTGAGCCATGATTGCACCACTGCACTCCAGGCTGGGCGACTAAGCAAGGCCCTGTCTCAAAAAACAAACCAAAAAAAAAAAAAAAAAAAAGAACAGCATCATATTTGGATAATACCACGCCAGCACTACTGTTAATTAAACACTACTGCTGTGAACTAACCTGACTGTATACATTTGTAGAGCTTTATTTGTACACACACATACATATGTATTATTTAATTGAAAAAAAAATCAGTCTATTGATTTTATTTCAATCAACTGAAATAAAATGATTGTTATAAAACAATGCAGTGTTTACATTTATTTTCTTCGATTTTATAGCTATGCCTCGTTTTTCTTACTGAGAAAATTATTGGTTCCAAATATGATTAGCAAAATTGTTTATTGGTTCTATCCTATGATTTCAAATAACAATACGTATTATATAGCAATTAAAATTGCTAAATTTATAAAATGTCTTTGTATTTCTTTTGGTCTTTGGAAGGTATCTGGCATAGAATAAAAATACTGGTTTCTAATGTCCTTTGAAACACACCCTCTCTTTGAATTGGTATACTAATATGAATGTGGTTGAATGTAGTTGTTTCATGCTATTTCAAATTTAAGGAATTCGTTTTTTAACAGAAATTCATGAGTAGGTCATTTATATGATTCAAAGGTTAAAAATATAGACAAAAATATACACAGAAATGCTTGCTTTCCGGCTGGGCACCATGGCGCATGCCTGCAATCTCAGCACTTTGGGAGGATGAGGCAGGCGGATCACCTGAGGTCAGGAGTTTGAGACCAGCATGGCCAACATGGTGAAACCCTGTCTCTACTAAAAATACATAAATTAGCTGGGCATGGTGGTGCACTGCCTGTAGTCCCAACTACTCAGGAGGCTGAGGCAGGAGAATCGCTTGAACCCAGGAGGAAGAGGTTGCACTGAGCCAAGATGGTGCCACTGCACTCCAGCCTGGGCAACAGAGTGAAACTCCATCTCAAAAAAAAAAAGAAAGAAAGAAAGAAAAAAACAAAGAAATGCTTGCTTTCCAATCTGTCCCTTCCATTTGTTTTTGTGCATATGTATGTGTATACATATATAATACACACACATGCATATATACACACAAAAACATGGATGTGTATACATTCACAAGCATATATAGGAGCACATATATCTACACACAAAATTGGTTGTGATACTTATTTTAAAATAGGTTTGTATATCATAGTCATTTTGTACAATGATTAAAAATGTTTCTGTATTAATCATAAGATTTTTCAGTTTATGAAAGATTGTGATCTTTAATTCTCTGCTTAAATTTGTGAATTAACAGAGACAGGACTGTGGACATAATTTCATTTAGAAAGTTTGGGGAGAAGAGAGGCTCTCTTGGTTAATTTGGGGCAAAATGATGCCTTTACAATATCGAGTCTTTAATTCTATAAACACAGCTCATCCCTCCTTTGACTAGGTCTTCTTTAACCTCTCTCAGGTTTCTCTCAGGAGAGCTGTTTACCTTTTCAATGCATTGCATTTAAATGCATGCTTTTAAATTCTGCAACTACAGATTCACTTTCAACATGTACTAAAGGCATTTTATATCCACCTATTCATTACACATAATCTGAGATGGTGAATCACAAGATGCCACGGGAATTCATGTATGTCACTGTTGGTGAGGTTTATTTACAAGTTATTTAAATACTTTACAATTTAGGGTTTTCGCTTGGTTGGGACATTCTTCAGTACTGTTCTTCACCATTCTTTTTATTTTATTTTATTTTATTGGAAACAGGGTTTCACTCTGTCACCCAGGCTAGAGTGAAGCTCACTGCAGCCTCAAACTCCTGAGTCCGAGTGACTCTCCCACCTCAGCCTCCCAAGCAGCTGGGACTGCAGGCTTGCACTGTCACGCCTGGCTGATTTTTTTTCGAGATGGGGTATCACTATGTTGCCCAGGCTGATCTTGAACTGCTGGCCTCAAGCAATCCTCCCCATTCAACCTCTGAAAGTGTTAGGATTATCAGCATGAGCCACCATGCCCAGCCCCAGCCACCACCATTCATTTTTAATAATGGGGTATTACTCTCATTGTCTATAAAATAAGCGAGTATAGTTGGAAGGCTGGCCATTCATTACAGGCTTCTGAAGACACAGTTCCACTCTGTGGCAGGTATTTCCATGGGACTATTTCTGCGTGGGGATTATGCTTCATAAAAGAAGATTATCTAGAAGTGAGGCATTTTGATTATTGATTTGAGCGTTACGATTTCTCTTGCAGAGTTGTGAAAACAGTGGCTGTGAAAATACTGAAAAATGAGGCTAATGACCCCGCTCTTAAAGATGAGTTATTAAGAGAAGCAAATGTCATGCAGCAGCTGGACAACCCGTACATCGTGCGCATGATCGGGATATGCGAGGCCGAGTCCTGGATGTTGGTCATGGAGATGGCAGAACTCGGTCCCCTCAATAAGTATTTGCAGCAGAACAGGTATTGTCGGGTGCTCCCACGGGCCTGGGATCTATCCCCTGAGGGGGGCCCATGACTGGACGGGCCAAGCAGCCTGATCTCCTCAGGGAGCCTTCCCACCCTCCTGTGCCTTCCCTTATTGGTCCACACTCAGGTTCCTTGACAGAGGGACAGACAGAGACGCAGTCTTTGGCGTCAGCTCTGTTAGCTCTGGTCGTTCAGAGAAGAATTCATTCGAGAGTTTTGTCTTTCTTTTCTTCCTGTGCTCTTTCAGTCTTGGCCCAGGGATAGACTCCGCCTTAGAATAATATCTTGACGACGAATCTCCTTTCTCACTGGGAAGAACACTTTCTTTTTAAAGAAACATTTAAAAGAAACGTTTTTCTAAGAGGTGACAGTTATGTCTTATCTGTTTGGCTGGCCTTATGTTCTCATGAGTAATGACTTCTGAAAATACCAATCGCTGCTAATTGATTACATCCATCAAGGGAGTAATCGTGTTCTTCTCATCTGAAGCTGTTGTTGAGATGGTGAAACTCACCTGGAGTAAAACAGAATGATAACCACAAGCTTGCCTCGTTTGCTGCACTACGTTTCTACTTAGATTGCTTCTTTAGTCTCCATGGAAGGGAAGGTGTTCTTACCCTTACCTCATAGGTGAGAAACTGAGACTCGGGGTTCGTTCTGTGACCTGTGCGATAGTGGAACAAAGATTGGAGGTGTGCCTGGCTGTCTGTGAGCCAGGTCTGACCACCCTGTTATACTGCTTTTCTTGCAATTCCAAACATGCCAGGAAACTCTATCCCATTGAACACCAGGAGAATGACATTCAGTCCTGAACAGCTGTATGCTGATTAAGTCATCTGTCACCACTTGTGAGTTTTATTGTTAGAGAGAAGCCATAGATTCGCCTGCTGCCTTCGTGAGGGGCATGTTTGTTTGTTGTGAAATGGGTCACTGTCTCCTATAGCTGATGATATTGTTGTGACTTTCAGACATGTCAAGGATAAGAACATCATAGAACTGGTTCATCAGGTTTCTATGGGCATGAAGTATTTGGAGGAGAGCAATTTTGTGCACAGAGATCTGGCTGCAAGAAATGTGTTGCTGGTTACTCAGCATTATGCCAAGATCAGTGATTTTGGACTTTCCAAAGCGCTGCGTGCTGATGAGAGCTACTACAAGGTGAGCACAACTTAGCTCATATTCAGAGCAGCGGGCGGCAGAAAACACAAGATACATGTATGTTTGTTTTATTATTGATAGAGTTTCAAAAAGCAGTTTTGCTACTTAAAAAAAACTAAGAAATGTTCTTATAATCTTTGATTTTATTGTTTAAAAAATAAAAATACTTTAATATATCACACCTTGAGATTTACTCAGAGTAGTATATTCTAAATTATGTTTCATGGAATGATCAGGAATCAAGGTATTAAGTGATGATTCATTTCGGAAAAAAAGGAGAATGGGATTCCTTCGTTAAGTTCCTTTGAAAGGTTTGCAATAGGCAGCTTGATTCTTGCAGGATTTCCCCCAAGCCCTTTGCACGCTGCTCAACATGGTGAATCTCAGCGGAGGGTTTTGCTGCACTGCCTCTCTCAAACCAAATTCATCCACGGCATCCTTTTCTGATAGGACATTTCATAACATCTGGTGGAACACCATTCCAGGGCAGGAAGCTTGGAGTGTTTCCAAAATAACCTTCTAATGAACACCCATCTATACATGTAAAAGTTAGGAAGTGAAATTTTATCAAATACGCTCATCGTCTATGTATGTCCACTAAGTATGCAGAAATTGTTCTACTGGCTTAGCTGGCACCCAGAAGAATTGAAGTGTCAAAAAACAAATGCAGTGCTGGCAAGAACAGATCTAGAGAGTTATGTGACTGAAGCTGAAAGAAATATGCCCCTTAGTTTGGTGAGGCAGAGATTATCAAGAATTAAAGATAAACTTCCAGCAAAACATAAAGTGGAAACTAGTTCTGGGTATAGGTTTGGACTTCCTAAAAAATAATTTTACAGTGACCAATCCCCTTGCTGATACGACTTGACCCCTCTCTGAACCCTCAAAGGAACCAATAACAATTAATAGAAGAGAAAATTAAAAAGCTTCATCTTCATATTAATTCATCCATGGTGTATATATAGGGTCTATGTTGACCAACTGGAAAATGTGATGGAATTGGGACCCACTGAGTCAAAGAGGGTGCCGAGGGCAGGCTGACAACTCTTCTGGTCTCTGGTGAAGTCCACGTGCTCAGAAATAGATGGCAGAACCTGAAAATCTACCTAATGGATGGGAGATGGGGTCCTGAGTTTCATACCCTGCAGTGGTCACAGACCCCACCCTGAGTGACACTCACCTTTCCCTGAGAGGCAGTTCATGGACCGGTGGGTGATGGTGAATGGTGGACCTCAGCCAGCAAAGGGACCTCATGAAGGGTGAGTCACAAGAGCCGAGCTTCCAGGCAGGCAGGCGGACGCCATTGTCTTGAGCACAAAGGCCAGGCGGGAGAACAGCAGGGCTCAGGCTGGCCCTCGTCACCCCATTCTTCATGCAGTAGCTTTCCAGAGGGAAGCCCCTTCAGAGGTGAGCCACTGTGAGAAGGGCATCAGCAGGAGCCTGGATAGAGACAACAGGAAAATGGAGCAAAGGAGAGAGCAGCCTAGGATGAGCAGCACGAGACGTGCTGGAGAAAGAAGCCTGTTGCAATGCTGGATGTACCTCATCAGGACCTCATCATGATCTTAGAGAGAAGACAGCCTGTCTGAAACAAAGACACAGAGGAGATAGAAAAAAAATGAAACGTGAATGCTGGTCGCCTTATCCACTGCTGCATAACAAACCACCCCGAACTTAGCACCTAAAACACCACCAGGTGTTGGTTTCCTCCCAGTCCTGCTGTGTGGGCAGGGTCAGGTGGGCAGAGCTTGGTGCATCTGCTCACACAGGGGCTTGTACGGTGGCGCAAGAGGCAACGGGACCATTTCCACTCTGCTCACTCACGCTACTCAGCCACTGAGCAGCTGGTTAGATGTGGCCCATGCTGGGGATCTCTGCAGGGCTATCAGCTCACCTACACACAGCCTCTCCTTGGGGTCCCTGGGCTTCCTCACAGCATGGCAGCTGTACCCTGAGAGCAGTTACCCAAGAGACAGGAAGTGGGAGCTGCCAGGCCTATAAGGGCAAGCCCAGAGACTGCCTCAGGGTCACTTCCACCTGATCCTACTGGTCAGAGCAGCCGCAGCCTGCCAGCTTCAAAGGATGGGATAGATGGAACCACCCTTGAGAGGAGAAGTGTTAGGTTATTCCAGAGAGAGGCTAACTTTCATTGCATTTAGGATTTGTCAAAGATTTACTTTTTTCATCAGTTCAAAATTCAGAAGAAACTTGAAATAAAACACATGGCTGTATCATTCATGACTTGTAAGATCAAAATTTTAAAATAGTGCAGCACAAGGTGATAGAAACAGAAGTATAATCAGCATACAGATGGCCAACAGGTATATGAAGAAATGCTCAGTATCATCAAACATCAGAGAAGCGCAATTTACAAACACAATGAGATATCTTACCCCAGCTAGAATGGCTATTACTAAAACAATAAAAAAATAAAATAAAATAAAACAGGTGCTGGCAAAGATGCAGAGAAAAGGGAACTCTTATACACTGTTTGTAGGAATGTAAATTAGTATAGTCTATGGAAAATAGTAGAGAGACTGCTCAAAATAAAAACCAACTGTACATAGAACTACTGTGTGATCCAGCAATCCTGCTAGTGGGTATTTATGCAAAGGAAATAACTTGTGTATCAAAGGAATACACACTCTCACATGCTTATCATAGACTGTTCACAACAGCAAAGTTGTGGAATCAAGCTAAGTGTCCATCAATGGGTGAGTGGATTCAGAAAATGTGGTACATATATATGTGTATATATATATATATATATATATATATATATATATATATACACACACACACACACACACAATGGAATTCTATTTGGCTGGAGAAAGAATGGAATTATGTCATTTACTGTAACATGAATGAAACTAGAGATCATTATATTAGATGGTATAAGCCAAGTACAGAAAAGACAGATGGCACATGTTCTTGCTGATGTGTGGAAGCTAAAAGAGAGAGAGAGAGAGAGAGACAGAGAGACAGAGAGAGACAGAGAGAGAGAGAGAGAGAGAGAGAGAGAGAGAGAGAGAGAGAGAGCTTGATCTCATGGAGATAGAAAATAGAATGATAGATACCAGAGGCTAGGAAGGGTGTGTGGATGGGAGTGGGGATGAGAGAGGTTGGTTAATGGGTACAAATGTACAATTAGACAGAACAAATAAACTCCAACATTTGATAGCGGAGTCGGGTGGCTAAGTTAGCAACTTTATGTTGTATATTTGGAAGTTGCTAGAAGAGAGGGCTTGAAATGCTCCCAACACGTAGAAATTATAAGTACTCAAGGTGATGGACACCCCAAGTACCCTGACTTGATCATTACACATTCCATGCATGTAGCAAATACATGTACCCTGTAAATATGTAAGATATTTGGTATCCATTTAAAAAACAAAAACAAAAAAATGAAATAATTGGCACTGGCTTAAAACTGTGGACAAATGCACAATAGTACTTAAATATACTTATGAACAGCCCAATATTTCTTAGAGCAAAACCATAAAGTAATATTCAGGCTTGACTTGTCTGTTGCCATCTACATGTCCCATGAAGCTATGTGTGGCCAAAAAAAGAGATGAGAGAAGACTAAAAGATACAAGCATTTTATCCTGAATCTTCAAAAAAATAAATACATGTATATACACATACATGCACACACACACATATGTATATATTCAAATTTTTAAAAAGAATTTTACAGCTTTTAAGATTTAATAAAATCTTTAAAATTCAAACTAAACACACACAGCATTTTGTGGGTCAGGATTTTATTCTTTGTTAAGATTGAGATAAAATACACGTAACATAGAATTTACCAGCTTAATCATTTTTATGTGTACAGTTTAGCAGTGCTAAACTGAAACTCTGTCCCCATCAAACACTAACTCCCCATTCTCCCCTCCCCTCTAGTCCCTGGCAACCAGCATTCTACTTTCTGTCTGTATGAATTTAACTACTCTTGGTTCCTCACCAGAACCATACAGCATTTGTCTTTTGGTGACTGGCTTATTTTGTTACCAGTGGAGGGTGTCCAGCTTCTTGGCGTCTTGAACAAAGAATTGGATGAAATGCACAAACAAAGCAAAGAAACAATGAAGCTGCAAAAGTAGAGATTGATTGAAAACAGAAGTGCACTCCACGGGGTGGGAGCGGGCTAAGCATAGCGGCCCAAGAGCCCGGTTACAGAATTTTCTGGGGTTTAAATACCCTTAGAGGTTTTCGTTGGTTACTTGGTGTACACACTATGTAAATGAAGAGGATGAAGTAATGTTACAAAGTCATTTACACCTTGTGTATACTCGGTGTACACCTTGTGTAAATGAAGAGAGTATTTCCCGTCATAGCTCAAGTCTTTCCATTTGACTTAATTCTAGGAAGTCCTTAGGTTATAGGAAGTCTAATTCTTTGTGCATTTCATTCAATTCTTGTTTGTGCATTTCATCCAATTCTTTGACTTAATTCTAGGAAGTCCCACTTCCAGGCCCTATTCTCCTGTCTCAATTTCACTCAGCATAATGTCCTCCAGGCTCATCCATATTGTAGTGAAGTCCCTTCCTTTTTAAGGCTGAATGCTATTCCATCGTCTATATAGATGGTGTTTTGTTTATCCACTCATGTGCTGAAGCACACTTCGGTTGTTTCCATGTTTTTGCTATTGGGAATAATGCTGCTATGAACATGAGTGTACTCAAGTTTATTCTTCTGTTTTGTTTTTTCAGCTGGAGTCTCTCCTTCTGTCACTGTAGGCTGCAGTGCAGTGGTGCGATCTCAGCTCACTGCAACCTCCGTCTCCTGGGTTCAAGCGATTCTCCTGCCTCAGCCTCCTGAGTAGCTGGGATTACAGGCACTCGTTATCATACCTGGCTAATTTTTGTATTTTCAGTAAAGACAGGGTTTCACCATGTTGGACAGGCTGGTCTCGAACTCCTGACCTCGAGTGATCTGCTCTCCTCAGCCTCCCAAAGTGCTGGGATTACAGGCATGAGCCACTACTCCCGACCCACAATTTTATTCTCAATGGAACTTCTCCCTCTGCTTTCCTTTTAGGCCCAGACCCATGGGAAGTGGCCTGTCAAGTGGTACGCTCCGGAGTGTATCAACTACTACAAGTTCTCCAGCAAAAGTGACGTCTGGAGCTTTGGAGTGTTGATGTGGGAAGCATTTTCGTATGGGCAGAAGCCGTATCGTGTAAGTTGCCCCTGCTTCATTTTCTCACTAGGTGGCCATTAGAACAGATAAGCACCAGACTGTCTTTACAGGGACCTGAAAATCCTAAAATCTGAGCACCTCTCTGAGCCTCTCATTATCTCTTACCAGTAAGCAGTTAATGCGCCCTCCGTCTATCCTAAACTGAGAACGAAATATCTGATGCTCACTGAGGAGTGTGTTTTTCCGTTGTGTGTTACTGCATGTCAACATAAACAAATATAGACCCAGATCATTACTCATTAGAGTTGAAGTAGAAATAATGACTATTTACAATGTTTTTTAGATATTTCAATTAAAATATATGTACCATAAAGGGCACAACTCTTAGGATGAGGCACAGTGGTTTTCCATAAATGAAACATACCTATGAAATCAGCCCCCAGATGAAGGACAGAACCCCAAAGCCCTGTTTCCTCTGCACACACAGTAGATTAAGTGCTCCTGGTTTTGTATTTTATGTAATTGAAACCGTACAACGTGTCCTCCTCCTCCGTGCCTCGGAGTGGCTGTTTTGTTTTCTTTGGCTAACAGTTTAAAAAACAAAAAAACAAAACGAGAAGCTTATGTGTCTCTTGCATGTTGTAGGGAATGAAAGGAAGTGAAGTCACCGCGATGTTAGAGAAGGGAGAGCGGATGGGCTGCCCTGCAGGGTGTCCAAGAGAGATGTACGACCTCATGAACCTGTGCTGGACGTACGAGTGAGTACCTGACACTGTCTGTGATGTGCTCGAATGCTCCGGAGACAGGTGAAATGGCTGGGCATCTAAAAGAAGCAGAAAGTTCATCTTTTCATGAATCAGTCATGTGCCCCCTTGCTGAACAAACAGTGGTGGGGCCTGGTCCTGCTTCAAGAGACCTTGCTCTCTGGCCCATGCACTTACATGTGGTAGTGCCTAACAGCCAAGTCTAGATGGGGGCTCTAACCCAAGTGTCCAGACGTAAACGTAAGTAAGGTGGGGAGACGGGGAAGGGCGGCTAAAGTAAAAAGGTGTTTGTAGGAGGTTGGGGCTGGATACCATTTTTGGCATAGAGGATAGCAGAAGTACTCGGTGGGAGATGTTACACTTTCCTGACTTTCTGATTACCATAAGCAGTGAGGCGTGACCTTGGACTCTGGACAGCTCACAGACGGATTGGCTAAGGTTGCACTTCCCTAGAATCTACCCAGTCCTTGAAGTGGAAGTGCTCAGGCGACGTTCAGGGCAGCTCAGCAGGGAAGGAAAACGCACTGCCCCTGAAAATTAGGAGTACAGCTTTCCCAGGCTCAGCAGCCCGCCTGTGTGTGTGTAGCACGGTCACCCCAAGCCGCCATCTCCGGCTCCCTGGTACTGAACGGTGCACACAGAGCCCGTGCTGCTTAGAATTGATGTGGCCTGTGATCAGGAGGACATCACAAATCCTGGCCATGGATTTGATGTTTTGTGAAATCAGGTTTGCCCTCAGATACAGCTGACATTGCCAGAGCCCCTGAAAGCTGAGGGCTATTCCAAATGCTGCAGATACCACCTGGGATTCTGAGACCAACCCTGCCCACCCTGGGAGTATCATTCTACCACAATTGTGAGTGGCAGGGAAAGAATCTCTATCTAGACACCACCCAGGGGGCAGCCACAAAGGCAGCGGGCAAACTGGGCAGATGCTCTCCTGCCCTGCTGCTGCCATGGCTCAGGAGACGGGCCTGGCCTCAGCCCTCGGGCATCTTCTCCAACCCCAAGTGTTAGTGCTACAGGGACACCAAAGTGTTAGCAAGAGGGGAATGTTCTTCATGTATTTAGGGTGATGTTTATTCCTAAGTCTTGGCTTAATTCTCCCAGTGCCCAAACTAGAGTGGTCAGAACCATTGGCAGGTAGGCATTGGCAGTACTGGACCTGGGGAGGGCAGCCCTCGGGCACATGGCGGCCGTTGACCCTTTACTTCTAGTGTACTTTGGTCCTCCCTGTGGCTCCCTTTGCAAGGCTTCCCTTCCTGTAGAGGGTGCAGAGGATAGAGATTAAATCATTGTGATACAAATGCAAAAACTTGAAATTAAAAATGAACTCGCTGGAGGAGAGGTTTTACATTTAATGTGGATGCTGAGCTATTTATTTCTGTCGACTCTTCTTTGTGGTGCGTGTTTAACAGTGAGGAGTGAAGGGTGGCGGGGGAGAGGGCTGGGTGCTGGTGCAGCCAGGGGAACCACCTCCCACTTGGCTCCCAGAGGGGTGCAGTGAGGCTGCTGAATACCCTTTGGGCTGTGGTGCCTTCTTGAGACTCAGGGAATCAGGATGGGGGCTGCTGGGCCCACCTCTGTCCTCCACGGACGCACAAACCTGTTATTTCCAGAATGGTCCACCAGGGGGAGAACGGGGAAAGCCGTCTCCTGTGATATTCACTGGATATTCACCAGAATCACAGCAAAGCAGAGCAGTAGAACAGTCTCCTTAAGAGAGCATTCCTACAAAACGTATTCTCCAGCCTGGAGATCTAAGATGGAACGTGAATGAGGTTCACAGGCAAGCAATGTCTTTCCCCTTGGTTCCCACCCCAGTTCACGCTGCCAGGGTATATTTCAGTGAGTCCTGCAGGCTTAGAGGAGTCAGCTACAGGGCACAAGCCCCAGTCAAAAGGAAATCATGATGATGGCCTGTGCCCCAGATTAGAAATCACAGCTCTGTAGCAGACTGATTTATTTGCCAACAAAGCTCTATGTCTGAAGGTTACTGTGTTTCTAGTAGTGACCTCCAACAGGGTTGGGGGAGGTGGGGAGATATTCAGAAACTTTTGAAGCAGCAGCATTTGTCTGGGGTAGTACCTGGATTCGTTGCCTCACACCAAGGAAATGGAAGATTCAGACACACAAGAAGTGAGTTTAAGAGCAGAGGTTTAATAGGCAAGAGAAAAGAGAAAACTCTCTCTTCCACAGAGAGGTAGGGGCCCCCAAGTGGTTCTTCCGTTCCATGTTGAAATGCACAGGGTTTTATAGAGGAGCTTGAGTCTGATTTACATAGGGCCCAAAGATTGGTTGGACCAGGTGTGTCATCTACACAGCACACAAAGAAACTGGCTGCCCCACCCTAATCTTTTATTACACAGATGGTGTCTCTACTTGGCTGGAGCCCTGTTGCCTGCTTTTTTACTGCACATGGGCAACAAGGAAAATGGAATGGGAACCTCCATGTTGAATTTCCCTGGCTTCCAAGTATCCCTCTTCTATTGGCACAGCTGCCGAGATTTACCTATACGAGCTTTTAGCTTGCTTATCTATGCTTGCAGCTTGATTTTTCAGGCTGTTTTTTGTTAGAAAAAAGATGATTTGGGGGCTGCTTTTCATTAAAAGTAAACCATACCAAGGACTCTGTTACCCTCACTATCTGCCTAAATAATTTATTTCTAGCTCCTGTATCACTTTGTCTAAACATAAGAAATTCAACGAGGTGCAGCTGAATGAATAAAAGGAAAAGATTCCTTGGAGCAGGGCCACAAGGAGAACTCAGAATCGCCAGGGGCTGGTCCTGGTAACCTGGGCTATTGCCTGAGGCCTCCCAGAAGGTGCAGGGGGTCCCCCACTGCAGGCCTTGTCATCAGTTCTAGGGTGTGGTCCTGGAGGGAATTCAAAGGGACTTCCCAGCCTCAGTGACGGAACGCATTTAAGAAGAGATGACAGGACAAAGGAAATCTGACTAGAAGGAGTAGATTTTCTAGAGAAGTCACTAGGAGATACGAGGAGGGTGTAAAGCCAGTGGAAGATAAGGGATACTTTCTTAAATAAGCTTACTAAGGCCCGTTGCAGCTCCAGTGCCCAGCCTCTGATGATAAGGGCCATTTTCTCATCCTGGTACAGGATCTCCTTTCCAGAGGAATCTTTGTGGTTTGCTGCAGGCACAAAGACACAGGTCAGCTCGTCCTTTCTGAAGCTACAATTTATCCACTATTTTCAACTCAAAATAATCAGTATACCAATCTGGCATATTTGGTGATGGCACGGCCTCACGCCTTCACCCTCTCGCTTTGCAAGGGAGAAAGACAGCATTAGAGTTCTGCCCTGTGCAGGTCACTCAAGGAGGCAGCGTGAAAGCCAGGCGGGAAACACTGGCCCCGAGGAAAGCAGAAAAGTCTTCCCTTGTAGTGTTTTCCAGAACCAAGTTATGCTCAGGGTGATTAAAGACACCAGTGGGAAAAGGCCTTGCAAATGGAGAGAAGTTGGTGCTCTTGATCCTAAAACACAGTCTCCTAACAGTCCTGACCCTCCAGTGGGGCCTCTGCCCAATGGAGAAACTTCCTGGGCTCTCAAGGTTCTCTGAGAGTCAGGGAGGATCTAGATGTGGCTCAAATTCCTGTCTAAAGACTAATAAACCCAAGATATAGCATGAGTTCTCAGGACTTTGGTGAGATCTGCCCTGGCTCCCTGCACAGCCGCAGCCCCAAGGCTTTCCTCTGAGCCGCAGGTCCTCTGAGAGCACTGGGTCATTCACATGGTCTGTGGCCATGGCCGGAGCCCCTGCTGTGCAGGCTGTCACCTCAGGTGCAAGCCTCCCAGATGCCTCACATCCTGTCCTTATCAGACCTTATAGTTGGGGCTGGGGCAGTCAGGCAATAAACAATAAGCTAAAAAGAAGTGTGTCCTATGGTGTGTCTTAGGAAAAGAACGATTCCAGTGGGAATTCAAAGCAAGGAGGGCACCGGGGCATGGAGGCTATCACACGCAAGCGTGGGGTTTTCAAAGCCTCCTTGTGTTGAAGTCGTTTCTCAGTTGCCTGTGGCACAGAAGCAACTGGAGCTTCTAGAAAGTGCGGGTTCAGCAAAGGGACTCCAGGTGGTCCTAGCGTATTCTCTGTTTTGTTTGCTTTGTTGTTTCATTTTTTTCCTCAGTTGTAAACAGCCACCTTCTCCAAGGTGAGATATAGAGACAGACAGAGAGAGCGGGAGGGAGATAGACGAGGGGAGAGAAGAAGGGAAGGAGAGAAGTTCTCTCATCAGCACGAACTCAGGTATTGAAGGGGGTTTATTATGAGTAGCAAAAGATGTTGCTTTCAGCCTGACACTCAGGAAATTCCAAGAGTTTTAGGAACTCTGTGCCAGGAACCCAGGATGAAGATCATATATTTTATATAAAATCACACACTGGGAACTTTGAAAGAGAACAGAGAATTATGGGGAAGGGAGGGTCACACTTCCAGCAGGGGCTCCAGATAGGCCACCTTGAGGGATTGCAGCTGAGACCTGCAGGCTGGGAAGTGAGACTGTGTATAGGGATGAGGGGAGAAGAGGAGGGTCGCCGGGCGCGAGGGCAGAGCAGAAACTGCACTCCGGCCCGAAAGCAGAAAGGCAGGCCAGAGAAGGGCAGGAAGCTGGGCACGCAAGGGCACTGCATTACCCTCCTGCTGCTGAAGCACAGCTGTGTCCCAGCTTCCTGGAGGCAGCGTCTCCCATGGATGTACAGGAGAGATTTCCTAGGAGACCTGACCAGGTGTTTTTCCTGAGGATGAGTCTGTATTCCTGTTTCCTTGCGTTTGTTTGCTGCAGGGCTGCTGGGCAGGTGATCCCCCAGAGCAAGATCCAAAGGGGCACTTTGTGCCATTTGGATCCCCAAAGTCGGAGCAGAGCCCCCTGTTTTGCAAAGATGCTAAAGTACATTCTCTTTGACTGTAGACGTTCAGGAGGAAGACAGAGGCTGTCCCTCTGGGTAGATGCAGGTTTCTCTGCATGCTCCTGTACTATAGTGTTGGCCACCATATCCCCTCCTGGAACACACTTGGTGGCAAGAGACAAGGCCCCTCTCAGTGACACCCTGGGAGGCCTGTGTCCCCAGACATCACCACAGGTGGTTGACCACACTGATCAATTTGAGCAGTTTTATCATTTTGCTTGCTATTGAAAGCTATAGGGAAAACCATGTATTTTGATGCCATTTGACAATTGGTAGAAGCCACTCTGCTCTTATAATGATGAGTGATTCTTCGTCCTGATGCACTTTCTATGGCTGTTCTCTTGTGTTGACATTGAACCATACAAAATTGCCATTGACATAGGTCAGAATGGTTGAATGTGGATGGTTTCATGCAATTTAACCTCACATTCTATTTCACTCTTTCACTTATTTTATTTCAACTTCATCCAATTGCAATATATCCAGAAATCTTGCAAAATCAGAAAAACAACTTCTAAGTGAGGATAGATTATCAGGGTTTTAATACTTGCTTCTAACTGATCTGTGCAGGACGTCTGTGTAAGAGAAAACAGAAGTGTCTGTAAGTGTTTGTTTAGAGACTGCAAATTGTTAACGCGTCTGCCTGTAGTTCACTGACCTCGGTGCCTCCCTGGCCAGCAGTGGCAGTAAGACCTGGCTACATTAAGGTGGATCATAGACAAGCCCAGGGTCTCTGCTTCCGCCCTGACATGTTTTGAGTTTTAATAAGAACCCACATCAACAGCCATTTTCCACAAATTCCAGAGCCATCAATTAGAGCGTGGAAAGGGAGAATTAAAGCTGTGTTTATATTTCTACTCTTAAGATTATGGTCAAACATTGGCGATATCTGCAGTACATTTGCCAAGTATTTTCAGACACCTGTGTTGCTAAATCACAAAGCGACAGCCTCTGAACCTGGAGCTGAAAGGCTGCCCGTCGTAATGCAATATGTCTTCGACTTCAAGGTGGACGTGAATCGTTGGAGGTCTTGTTAAAATGCAGATATGGGTTCTGTAGGTCTGCAGTGGGCTGACACTGTATTTCTGACAGCCTCTGGTCACCCTGGGGTGGGGGACACAGGGCCCACACTGTGAGCTGCAGGCCCTAGAGTCAGCCCCCAGGGAGTGGCACTGCTGGCACTCTGCCTGCAGAGGCCCCGCTTGTGATGGGCATTTTTTCACAAGCACGTTGACAAACAATAATGCATCTCTTCCCTTTCCAGTGTGGAGAACCGGCCCGGCTTCGCAGCGGTGGAACTGCGGCTGCGCAATTACTACTATGACGTGGTGAACTAACCGCTCCCGTACCTGTTGGTGGCTGCCTTTGATCACAGGAGCAATCACAGGAAAATGTCTCCAGAGGAATTGATTGTCGGCCACCTCCTTCTGCCAGTCAGGAGAGCCAGACTTGGATGGAACATGCCCGTGACTTGTCACCCAAAGCCTGTCCCAGGACCCATACTCTGCAAAGCAAAGGCCGTCCCAGGAGAAAAGGCAGATGGCAGGGTCAAAGGGACTAGGTAGATTTGTTTGGTTTTTTTGTCTGCGTGATTTTCATACAGGTTATTTTTACAATCTGTTTCCAAATCCCTTTCATGTCTTTCCCCTTCTCTGGATCCTGGGGTGTATTTGTTACTCAGCAGGCCCAGGGGCATTGCAGGGTGGCCAAGAGCATTCTCACCCCAAGCAGCCTTTTCCGGATGCTCAAGGATGCCTTAGCATGTGATTCCTGAAGGGAAGGTAAAGGCAGAGGAATTTAACTGCTTCTACAGCGTGGCTCTGACAGCCCATGAGACGGATCCTTGGCCACTGAAAAAGCTTTCCTGACAATAAAAGTGTTTTGAGGCTTTAAAAAGAAAATCAAGTTTGACCAGTGCAGTTTCTAAGCATGTAGTCAGATAGGGAAAGGGGAAAAAAAAAAAAAATGCCTGGATACTGCTTTTGCCGTCTCCGTTACGAAGTGGAAGACATATGTTTGTGATAAACGCGGACCATTTGAATGAATTGGCTTGGTTTACTTTCTCCCCTGAAATCCTGTCTCCTGCAGACTGTCTTGAAGACCTGGTGACTGGTAAATAAAGCTCTGCATGGAGGTTGCATAGCAGGGGCTAGAGGTCTGTCCTCCAGCATCTCACTGAGGAGGCAGGAGGCCTGTTCCCCGGCGTCTAGGGACAGTGGTAATTCATAGAAAGAGTTAATTCATAACAAGCCAAAGACGCTGAGCCTCACCACAAATAGGTCTTTTGGAGTGTGAGTCTGGGTTGAAGACACAAGACTAGAGAATTCTTTTCTGGTCTTAACTAATCCTTGACTTAATGTTTGATCTTATACCAGTCATCACCCATTGATATCAGTTTTGCTGTAGCTCTTGAAAGTTAAAGAGACATCCCAGTACTTTGGGAGGCCAAGGAGGCTGGATCCCTTGAGGTCAGGAGTTCAAGACCAGCCTGGCCAATATGGTGAAACCCCATTTCTACTAAAAATACAACAATTAGCTGGGCCTGGTTTCACGCACCTGTATTCCCAGCTGCTCAGGAGGCTGAGGCAGGAGAATCACTTGAACCCGGGAAACGGAGGTTGCAGTGAGCCTAGACCATACCATTGCACTCTAGCCTGAACATCACAGCAAGACTCTGTCTCAAAAAAAAAAAAAAAAAAAAAAAAAAAAAAAAAAAAAAAGTTAAAGAGATAATTTACCCATTATTCTTATGTAAGCAGATATAAATAAACTTGGACCCCTCTGGCCTTCAGCTATACCTGAGACATTTTAAAGTGCATGGACAGCCACAGACAGCAAGGGAGACTCTCCTCTCACAGGGGATGCAGGCATGGGGAAAGGCAATCAGTTCCCATGCTCAGCCACAGGAGACAGGAGTCACTCACAGAACTTGTGGTTAGAAGGTTTTAGAAGCCACATGCACTTTTTGAATCACCCTATCTGGTGGTTTAATCATATTTTTAAAGAAAGAAGCCCTGAGTGCTGAGAGGAGAGTGCTGAGCAGTTTCTCAAAACACATTTAGAATCGCTGAAATTAGAAAGACAAAATATCTGTCTGCCAGGCCACAAACCGGTGTAGAATTATGAAAGAAGAGGCTGGATGTGCCAGGTTTGGTAAAGTGGTGACCGTGTCGTAGAAAGAGGTTGTGAGGCTGCACTCTTGGTGGCTTCCTTCTGTAACTTCCTGAGGGTGTCTTTAACACAGGCCCCGTGCTCATAGGAATACAGTAGCACCTATGTAGGAAGTGTGTGGAGTTTTCTGTCTTCTTTCTGTGTGGTTTTTGGCCTCTTTTTCGGTACTTCTCCCCTCCCAGGAGGCTGGTGTTGCCAAATATCTGGAATGTGATGAGGCGAGAAGGGGGCAGGGGCCTCACCTCCTTACAGAGCCCAGCCGGCTCTCCCTGTCCTCGAACAATCTCCTGAGTGCTCCGCTTGGTGGAGCAGGCTCCTGTGTGCAGAATTCCCACTGTGGCCAACACAAGAAAGTCTTTTCTAGCGCAAATTGTGTCCTGTGGTCGGGAATAATTATCCTTCCCCTGTAGCCACAAAGGAGGGCAAACAGGGAAAGGCACCTTAATTGAAGAAGGATTGGTCATGTGAGAAGGGCTACATTTGGGAAGCTGGGAAAGGTCTCCAGGCTTCTAGAGCAGCTAGCTTGGGCTGGATTCTCACACCCAGGCTGCCCCTCGGATTATTCAAACCAAGCTTTTCCCTGGGGCCTGGGATCACTGCATAAGGTAAGGTGCCTTTACCTTATGGTCCTTCTTTAGCAGGGAACAAAGGAGCATCATGAACAGACAGACTGTCCTAGCACCATCACGTTGGCTGCTGAGGCCATGAACCTCTTGTCCCCCAGCAGGGCCACATGTGTCTATGACAGAAAACAGTGTGTTCAGTGCTGAAAACCATTGCATGCGTGTCGTCATCTAAGCGTGTCCTCCTGTACGCCCTGTCACCCAGCCCTGCCTGTAGTTGCTGGATGCTGACTTCACTTGGACGTCTGCAAGTCGGCCTGGATTTTTACATACAGAGGCAGCAGCTGCATGATCAGGCCTCCCAGCCCCGCAAAGAGCTCCCCCCACACTGGTTATCAGCGTGTCCTGTTTTCCACTCATTTCAGAAGAGCTACATTGTGTCACTGGACATGTTTAAAAATTGTGATTTTTAATAAAAATTTAAAACGAGCTTTGTGATGATTTTCATGGAAGTTACTAGGATGTGATAAGTCACACTGTCAAACAGTGCTAGCAGCGTTGTCAAAGAAGTAGCTGAATATTTTCTAAAACATGAAGTCGCCGCCATGTCCTAAAAGAGTGAATGTGTTGGCTGGGTGCAGTGGCTCATGCCTATAATCCCAACTCTTTGGGAGGCCAAGGCAGGATCTCACACATGAGCCCGGGAGTCTGAGACCAACCTGGACAACATAGTAAGACTTTGCCTCTGCAGAGATGAAAACATTAGCTGGGCATGGTGGTGCGTTCCTTAGTCCCAGCTGCTTGGGAGGCTGAGGCAGGAGGATCACTCGAACCTGGGAGGTCAAGGCTGAAATAAGCCATGATGCAGAGTGGGTAGCTGCATTGTCAGGCCTCCCAGCCCTGCAAAGAGCTCCCTCCACGGGTTAGCAGTGTGTTGTGTTTGCCATTCATTTCAGAAGAGCTACCTTGATGGCGTCACTGTACTCCAGCCCAGGTGACAGACAAGATCCTATCACCAAAAAATAAAAGTAGATCTGCACAGGCCACTCAAAGTTGTCTGTGAGATTCCACCACACAGAAAGGGGAGGCCCAGCCGGGAGGGCCCTGTCCTGCCTGTATGTTTTATTCATGGGCAGAGCATCTACTCAGCAAGGGCCTTCAAGCCCATGGCCTGTTTTATAAAAGGCTGACTGAGGAGACCCAAAATCCCCCATCAGGCCAAAGCAGGGTTGTGGGTTTTGAGCTGTCCCTTTCTCTCTGAAGACAGCCTAAAGGGAACTGGGGTAGACAAAGGGTTCCAGAACCCCAATCTCTGCCTGTTCTAAGGAGGTTACACACATGCGCAGATATGCACACATATATATCCACATGCACACATGTATGCCCACATGCATACATATGCACACATGAATATGTCTCAATGCATACATGCATATACACACATGCATGGGCATGAACATGCATACATTAACACACACACATGCATCCACACATGTAAGCACATGCACAAATGCACGCGTAAACATTTACATGTGTGCACATGTACATACATGTACACACATGAACGCATACATACACATATGCAGGCATGAGCGCACATACACGCACATGCACACAAATACACAGAACATGCATACACCACACAGTACACAAATATACCAAACACACCTGCCACATACAAATTCACACACCGCACACATACACTATGCCATACATACTATGCCATACATACACGCCACACGAGCACATACGCATAACACACACAGCACCGCACATACTGAACCCCGCTCCAAACATCCACTTAAAAATCCATGTGAGACAGTTGTCCTGCAGCAGACACACCCTCGTGTTTGTATCCGTCTTCGCCCCTCTCCGGGCTCAAGCAGTATGGGACTCTCCCTCACAATCTTCCATCCTGGCTTCACCAGTCCTCTCTGCTCTTGCCAATCCAAGTTAGGTTTAGAGGAAACAATGAAGTTGGCCGGGCCGAGGCTCCCTTGGTCAGCTGAGAGATGGGAAGGACACAGACTGCCCAATAGCCCAGTGGGTTGGAGGAGGCTGCTCCAAATACAGTGGGATGGTGAAGTGCCCTGAAGTCAGAGAAGAACATAGCACACAACAGACTGGGCTCCAGCGCTGACCTTGGGCATGTCCTATAAACTGAACCCCCGAGCACCACAATTTCAGATGAGGGTGCCTGCACTGACACATGTAAGTGACGGCACAGTGGCCTTATTTGAAAAATGTCCGTAGATGCCATGGTTTGCGTTGTTATGCCACTGGCCAACTGCTGGGAGGAATCCTGTGGGCAGCAGGCGGCACAGGCTCCGGGATGGCTCAGGAAATAGCTCTGGACTTTGGCTTCGACCCCAGGGAGGGGGACCTCTTGTGATAATGTGTCACTGCACTGCAGTGTGAGATGGCTTTACCACGAGCCTGAGCTGCAGCAGAGAGGTGGTTTAAAACCCCCGGGCTTGTCCTTCGGAGATTAGCCGGGGACTTTAGAACTGGTCAATGAATGTGCTCTCATTTTGGGGAGGAAGGGAGCACTTTAAAAAAGGGAGATTTGGGTTTTCGAATTATCATTGCCAATGCAATGTCTCTTTTCTTCTCTTGGTTGCTGGCTGGTGGCCTCAGGGTGGACATTTGTCCCTGCTTCAGGGCAAGCAACCCTACTGAATTAGCACCTCCCCTCCAGTGTTAGACTGCCCGCCAACACCTCTGTGCTGGGGACCTCCCACCCCTTCCTGATCCATGCTCTGTCTCCTGTGGCCTGAAATTTCCAAGGAGAAACCCACAAAAACACATTTCACTAAGTGTCTTCCAGGAATGTCTGGAAGGTGGAGACACACTGTACAGCACGCAGTTTCCCTGATTAAATAACTTGGAAAACATGGCCAACCATATTCCCAGCACTCATTAACCTCCTAAGAGCTCCAAGGAGCACTGCAATCAAGACCTTCTCACGGAGCTTTTCTAGCTCAACATTTCACTGACTTCTTTGGCCACAGAACCACTAGGTGCTCAATACCTGTTAGCATGATAGCGTGGTGTTCCTCCACACTCACTGGGAAATGTGCTTATGGAGCATTAGGGAGGTATCTCTAAAGGGCCATGGTCATTTGGTCCCCTGAAATCACACCAAGGAAGCAAGTATCAGT